TCAATATGATATTCATCAGATGTTCCCAAACTACAGACTTTAACTTTTGCTCTCTATCAAATACCGTACTTCAAATTTTTTCAGCAGCATATGCTAAAAATCAATAATAAAGGGTCAAATAGAGAAACAGGGAAATAAATGATTAAAATGAAAAGTATATAATAAGGATACTTACCTGATCAGCATGAAATATAAAATTCAACTTGGTAATAATGGTTATTGAAATTATATAGAAGCATTTTATTGTAGCCCAAAAATTTTGGATTAAACCATTAGCAAATCTGAGGGGTAAAACTCACATCAGTATCTATTCATTCACTAGTTCTTCAGTTATCTGAGAACCAAGAATTGTTCAAAATATATATTTCATTTTTAGCAGAGCAAAAATTGTTCCCCCCCCCCCCGTAAATTGAACTAGAACTAAGCAATCAATGCTTTTCACTACATTCAAATGTTCAAACTGGGTCTTTAATTTTTCTTAGATTAAAGAAATGTAGGAAGTGATATTTTACTATCCTCCATTATTCAAGGATTCATTCACTTACAGCTGAGGCTGTAAAAGGATGTTGCGAAAGGATTACCAGAAAATGTAAATTGTGCTCTGGCAAACTTATGAATTCATTTAAAGATGGAGGACGGTTCCTTGACTCTGGAGAGGACTTTCTAGACTGAAACTAAAAAACTGCTCTACTGAAAGAAGCATCTTTATACAAGATACTTTTGAAGAGTAAGTTTTAACCTAACTTCCAGAATTACTTTCATCTATCATTTTCTTTCTTGGCATTTCCCCCCTTAATTTTCATTCTTTCTAAAAAAAATATCAAACTAATTAACATACAGGTAATCCCCGAGTTACGAGCGTTCACTTAATGCTTGTTCAAAGTTACGTGACGAGCCCCCCTTAGTGCTTACGAGCCAGTCCCGAAATTATGAATATTGCAGCACGGCAGTCATTCGTCCTTATGAGCGACCACAGTGGCTCTGCAACATTCACCCCGGTTACTCCCTCCCTCCCCAAACTCGCCCCGGGTCTCCATAAGCACCAGGCCTTCAATACCCAACCTGCAAAGATTGAGATCCTTCGCTTTTTTGGCTGCTCCAGACTTTCAGTGTGTTCACAGAGAATGGAGGCCTAAAGTAACGCAGGATCACGCAAGGTCAGTGGAGTGAGATCTCACACTACTGATCTTGCATCATCTCATGTATTTTAGGTCTCTGTTCTCTGCAACAAAGAATGGAACCGAAGCCGGGGGACGCTTCCATGCGCCTCCGGAGGCTGGATTGGGGCTCTGGAGGCCTTTTCAAGGGTGGTGCTGCCCAGATCTGTGGCCACTGAACGCTTCCACGCCCCCCTGCAACCTGATCCAGAGGCATTTCCCAGGCCAGATCGGGCCGTGTGGGGGTGCGGAAGAATTAATCAGCCAGAGATCTGGGCAGCAGTGGTCTGGAAAATGCCTCTGGAGCCCAGATCAGGCCATGGGGGGGGGCTGCAGAAACATCCCCCGGCCTCAGATCTGGGTGGCAGCAGGAACCATGGCAGAGAGGAGATAGATCTTTCCCAGGTGAATCCAGTGCGGCAGGAAAGGAGGGGGAAGCATGCGGTATCTTAGTGGGTCAGGGAGGCCTTGGGGGCTTGTTCCATCACTAGGCCTTCCATGGCCTTCCCTACCTTGAGACACCTCATGTTCGCTTAACAAGCCCTGTGCGTTTTAATGAGCAAGGGAGTGATTTTGTTCGACGAGGTTCATTCTACAAGTTTTTGAGTTACAATTGGAATGGGCAGGCTCCATTACACTCATAACTCGAGGACTACCTATATTTTAAATTATAACCATTAACAATACAATGTAGTCTTAAAATAAACATAAGAAGAAAAGAGAAAAAATTATATTATAAACAGAAAAATAAAAAAGTTTTTTTAAAAATTCACTCCTCTGTAACATACAAAACTAATTCAAACAATGATACACATTAACAATCCACCACTGTAATTTAGTGGGGAGTTCTATATTATAAAGCTCCTTTAGTCAACCACTATGTCTGAAAATTCCACAGATCTTGACAAATTCCAAATGTTAGAGATATAGCCAAGAGGACCACATCCATGCACAGTCTTATTAACAATCTTACTGATATCATCCCCAAATGTGGCAATAATAGAACATGTCCAAACCATGAGCTAATTTTCAAGCTGTATCTTGGTGATAACAACAAATATTATTAAACATTCACAAGGGTACCCAAAGTTCATGAAACATGCTTTTGTTTAATCTCATTTTCAGACCATAGAAAATTAATTTCATGTTATTTAAAACAACCTTCCATTCCTTTATCAGGATAAGACATTCAAATTCATTACTCCTGAGGTAAAATAAAAAACAGTATCAATGTCCTTCAACTATCTTTAACAAAAAAAATTACTTGCATAGAAGCCACAATTTGTTCTTCTATAACATAGAATCTCAGAAACAGCAAGGCAATATGGAAAAATAGAACTAAACAGAAATGCTTGCATTAAATAAACTTCTAAGAATAATTCTGGAAATTCATTTTTAATTTTACAAAATGTTTTTTTTTAAAAAATCTAAGGCTGAGTTGATCCAAATTAATATTATGAAAGGCTCAGTTTACCCAATAAATAAATTTACCCTGTATTTTTAACTAAAGGATTACACTATAATGTAAGATTTCCAGAAGTAAAAAGGAATGCTGATAACCTGGGAAAAGTTACTGAGGAGAGCAGAGCTCTGGCAAAGCAGAAGTATTTATTGCCTTAGAAAGAAAGTCCATTTATGAAATAATTGCTTCTTTGTTCTTTCAAAATTTCATTGTCTTAGTCGTGCCCCATTACCTCATACCCCAAAGGCCTCAGTGACCTCATCAGGCTCATGATGTATTTATATCCAATGAAATGCTTTACTGCTCTAGCCAATCACATGCATTCTATTGTCTGTAAAAATCTACAAAAGGGGACTGTAACCCTTCCCTTCTTTAGGGTGATCTTTGCTTCCTCTGGTGTGAATACAGCAATTTATGCTTCAGTGTAATATGTCCTAGTGTCTGGTTTAATGAATCCCTTTTTAAAAAATACTTCCTATTACAATTTCAATGGGTTTAATAATAACTAGCAAGTTGAGTGTAAAGAAAAAGTGATTTCTGAAATTCCTTAATCCAGTTACTGACCAAAGCAAGGATAAATGGCCAGTGAAATCTGAAAGTATGGAAAACAAAATTTATCTTTTCCAAAATTCGGACCTTAAATGCTTTGCAGTCTCAAAGCCTTCGATCCTACTGTATAATATCAATTGAATCCTGCATTGACTATCAAAGCCCCATGCAAGAAATGATTTCCACTGAACACTTAGGAAATTGTATAGCTGGACACTATGATGCCATTTTACAAGGATGAAGAAAGTAATATAAGCTTTGGCAGCAGTATAAAATGGTGTTTTAAAATAGATTCCAGGTGGCAGTCATTATGATCTCTACATAATTCATTACACAATTTTCTCATTGAAGAAATGTGATTATAGGACCATTTATCTTGTAAAGATAAATAAATGCTTTGGGCAAGTTTAGCATTCTGAAAGCTAGATTTGATTTTTATATATATTTTTAACACAATGAAGTTGCTCACTTTTCTTTAGAATAATCAAATAAAGATTTCTGAAAAAGGAATTCTAGTTTAGTTTGAGCCATGTAGGAAATATGTCTGAATGTGTTTTAGCATAACAGAATCACTATTCCCCCTTTATTTCCTATGAAAGCTTATTTGCAAAAGTATCAAATATTTATAGTATATGGGGAGTGTATCAAAAAAGTTATGATGAAAAAATCTTTCTTGCTCTGATGAGAATAGATCAAGAGCCTTGCTTCAAACAGGCCTTTCTGAGATTTAAGTGGGAATCACCTGAAAGTTCATTACTCATGTAATCAAAAAAGGGGATTAAAAATCAAGAACAGACTTCTTTAAAATAACTGGGGTTACAACTGATGACAAGTTCAATATTCCTTGCTCCAGTGAAAGCGATGGCAACATTAAGATTTCCTCTGCTAAAATTCTTGTTTGGCATACAATTGATATCCAACTCAAATTACTTATTTAATTTTGCTTATACGAACAGAAATATCAGTTAAGTGACAGGATAAAATAGGGTTTCCAATTGGTGTTTTCTGTCAAGGGCAGTGATATTGTGGAAGATATACTAAGAATAAGTTTAAAATCTTAATTCAGGTAGTCTTCCTTTCCTGTTACTTTAATTCACTAATGCATAAAATATAGCAATACTGCCACCTACTGTTCAAAAGTATACAATTATTACATGGGCTGTGGAAAAGAAAATGCTACATCAAATTATGGTTCTCAAGAAGAAACAGTGTCATGTCTTTATTTATTCGTTAGATTTAGATACTATGCATCTTACTCTCAGAGTGAGTATTGACAATCTTATACCATCAGTGGCAGCAACTAGGGAAAAAACTTAATTCGCAAAGATAGGGATCACGGTAAAGATCAAAATCAGTTATAAAAATTATATACAAAAAAAAAAACTTCCTAAGAAAGTTTGGAACAGCCATTAAACAGGATGGAAAACCACTGCTTTCCCCTACCCACTGCCCATTGTTCAAGTAATGTAATGTAATTTAATTTATACCCCACCTTAATTTTTTTTTACGTCAAGGCAGCATACCTAATGTTCTCACCTCCTACTTTCCCCACAACAATCCTGTGAGGTAGGCTGGGCTGAGAGAGAATAGTTGACTCTGATCCCAAGGGGACTAGGTACATAAATCTATAGAAAGCATATAAGGAATCTTCTTTGTAGGAAGTGACTGGTCTAAAAGATAATGGGCCAAATTTACACTGGGAACATACAGTTCATACTGTAATATTATATATCAAATATAGCATGTTACATATTATATAGTATACTGCATTCCATATAATATACCAAATATCACTGTTGTATGAAACTGAAATTATGGAAAATATGGTTTACCGTCTTGATGAAAGTCCTTTCTTTGTCTTCCCAAAATTTGTCACTTAATTCAATTGTGCAGTGAATATTTATTTCTCCCTCATAGGATCCAAAAATAAATAATCTGAAATTCAAACATATAATTATTAAATTACCATCAATTGCTTACAGCTGCTACATTTTCTTTACAAATTTATTCATAGTACACTATTTCAGGATATCAGAAGTTTAAAAAAAGAATTTGCGCCCTCTAGTGGAAACAGGTAGAAAATGGAAGCAAAGACACAATTTCAACATTTTTCATATGGGGTAGATAATATATGCACTAAAGTAGATAACAAGTGTAACCATGCATCATTGCAAAGTAAATAGTATAAAAACTGTGACTGAAAACTAATTTTAATTAAATGTGAATTAGTGAAATCATTCTATAAAGGGAAAATATTATTTTTTTCTGACAGGACAAATACATATCTGTCATCATAACTTTTAAGTACTTCTGAAAATATGTGCATTATGAAATGTACCTGCCAGCTAATTAGAATAGCTTTTTAATCCATAATCCATCAGTATAGCTTGTATGTGAAGATTCTTCATTTTATAGGAATATTTGTAATTCTACTCAACTGTTATTTAATAACTTAACTGCCAAATAAGAAAAACGGGTTAAATTAAAGATCAAGGAAGTGCTATTGGTCTCCTCTATTACCCCTTTTCTGAATAATCTATAAGAAATAAATTTTAAAACATGTCTATGTTGGCTAGTGTTACCCAATAGGTTTGATTTATATGCTATCAAGTCAGTATTGACTCATAGTGACTACAAAGATAGATTTTCTCCATGATGATTTGTCTCCAACCTGGTTCTACATTTCTTCCAATGGAACATCTGTGACAATTGCTGATGGACCATCTATCACCTAAAAGGTTGTTCTCTTCTTCTCTTTCCTTCCACTTTTCCTGTGGTAGACACTTCTCCAGAGACACAGGTCTTCATATAAGAGCTTTTAGAAGTAGAATAATTTGAACCTGGTTAGCGATGCCTCAGGGAAGAACTCTGCGTTGATTTGTTTGATGATCCCCTTAGTTTGTTATTTTGTCTATCCAAAATATTCTCAGGATTTTGAACAACAAAGTTCAAAAATGTCAAAACTTTATCATGCTTTGTCAAAGTCCTACTTTCACTTACTGCCTGTATAATTTTCATCTTTGTAGATATGAACACATCACTGCATCTGAGTATCTCTTCCAAGTCCTTGTTTGCTACTTTAATCTGCATCACATTTTTTCATTGCTAGGTAATTTTTAATGTTGTTAGCTGATCCTAAAAGGCAGAAACTATCCACTATTTCAATATTTTCACTGACAGTTCTAAAGCTGGCTGTTGCACCTGCTTTTATTAGTTTGGTCTTCTTTATGTTTAATCTAATTCCTATTTTTTTCATTGTGTTCCTTGACTTTCATTAGTAGAGCTTGCAAATCATTTGCATTCTTAGCTATTACTATCCAAAATACATGCAGTTTTTCTTTAGTTTCCTGAGCTTTTTATCTTACTGATAAGTTAGCCCAAGATATATTTTTGATAAAGAGAGAAAAGGCTCTGTCTTGCCTATCACCCTTATATCCTACATAAACAGGATTGTTTACTACCATTATCAACTGTTACCTTGCCACTAATGATGACTCAGCAGTCATCAACAAGTTATACCAGAAGGAAAAACAGGAAGCAGAACTATATCATTACTTCAGCTATTAAAGAGACCAGAAATGTGAAATTTTCTTCTCTTAAATATTTCCATGCCAATTTATTTGGATAAGAACAGCAACTTCTCGTTACTTTATAGTTATTACTGAATTATTTTTGCATTCCAGCTGGTCATTCTAAAATCAGTAATAAATTGCATATTAGCTCCCAAACAATCTTGTTTTCTTTTCCATCCTCTTCATTCTCTCCTTTTTGATTTTCAGCTTTGACTTATTGCTTTGCAGGCCATTCTGAGAATCTATTTGGCTAAAGGAAAGATTACAAATGTCTAGTTTTGTTAAATTTATTTGTTGCTAGATGAATATTCCATCATTTCCCCAAGAGATTCATACAAATCAGCATCTGTCCTTAGCTAAAACACAGCATGTAGCATTATATTCACTATGGAATGTCTTAGTTCCATAGTTGATCCACTACAGAATCCCTGAAAGATAATCATTCAGCTGTTTCAGGTCTTCAAACTCATGTGGCAGCCTGTTTCACAGGTTGACAGTTTGTACTACCAGGAAATTAGTCCCGATAACTATAGTGAATTTCCTTGTATTTTTAACTCTCTGGTTTTGGTTTGCCCTTTGGGCCACAGATAATACATCTGCACCCTTTTCTATATGACAAACATTCAGATATTTGATACTGTTACCATAGCTCCACTCAGTTGAATTTTATACCCAGATCCTTTAAAAATTTCTCATGGAGATTGGTTTCTAAAACTTTCACTATCTTGATGGCCCTTCTTGAACTTGCTCTGTTTTCTCACTGTGCTTTTTGAACTGTGGTGCCCAGAACTGGACAGATGGAGCCATTCTGATCTCTTAAATGAGTTCTACGCTTTGATGATAATGTACGTACCCAAAGAAGCATCTATCTTTTTTTGAGCTGCATCACACGGCTGGCTTGTGTTTAACACAGTGGTTCTCAACCTTTTTATACGGCGACCCCTGCTCACACGGACGTGCCCCCATGCGCGGCGCGCATGCGCTGCACGGCCCCCTGAGGGGGAAAAATGGTGGATCGCGTTGTTTGGCGACCCCCGTAAAATGGTCGTTCGACCCCAAATGGGGTCGCGACCCATAGGTTGAGAACCTCTGGTTTAACAAGTGGCTGATGAAGAAACCCAGTTTCTTTACACATATACTACGGCCAAACCAGGTATTACCACTCAATTGTGCTATACATTTTTCCTACCCAGATGCTGAACTTTACATTATTTCTTGTTAAATTTTATTCTGTTTATTTCAGTCTACTGCTCAAATCCATCTAAACCTTTAGTGTAGTCTTTTATCTAAAGTACAGCTATCACTCCCAGATTTTATGTCTTCTGTAAACTTTATAAGTGTTTCCACAATTCCCTCAAAGAAGTCACTGATCAAACTTTTGAAGAGCTTAGGACACAGGATCCATCTAAGCTGACTCTCTTAGGAGATGATAAACTGCCTGGGTAGGGTATCCAGTGATGGCTTTTCTCACCATCACTTGGCTTCTTCCAAAAGAGCCATGCTATGAATTTAGCTTTCATAGTGAACCCACAGCCAAATAAACTATGAGAATGCCCCAAAGTACTTCTTCTCTTAGAGCAGACATGTCAAACACAAGGCCCGGGGGCCAGATGCGGCCCATGAAGTGGTTTCATGTGGCCCGCGAAGCCATCCTGGAAACAGTGAGGGAACGGCCCCCTCTGCCTTGGCTCTGGCCCAGACCAGCTGGGAGCCAATGTACAATTTTGTGGTGGCCATTTATGCTGAAACGCATTCAGTCTTAGCTCCATAAGCTCCCCCCACCGCACGGCCTGAGAGGAACAGTGAGGCTCCTCCAGTGGACCATGCCTTGGCACTTGCCCTGGTCCCACCCCCTTCTGCCAGAGACCCTCAGATCTATCCCACTCCTGTCCAGGCCCCCACAGGCACCCTTGACGCGAACGATGTAGAACTGGCCACACCCACCCAGTAGGCCACACCCACTCCATCCACGCCCACCCAGCAGGCCACACCCAACCTGGCCACACCTAGCCGGCCCCCTGAGGGCAACCGCAATGCTGGTGCAGATCTCAATGAAATTGAGTTTGACACCACTGTCTTAGAGTATTCTGGTATTTATTGGTGGTCTTCCATTCAAGTACTAGCCAAGTCTGACACAGTTTACGTTTTTGAGATCAGCAAAGTATCGTAGTTTTGTCATAAAATCTGTATCACTACCACTCAAAAGGGAAAAATCTGTTTGGGGCAACTGATTCTTCAGGAGATATCTTAGCTACAGCAGGTACCATATCAGACACTTCAACTGTTTTGAGCTGTGTTTGCTAAAACTTTGTCAGAAAAATAAACTGGACACAAATCTTTAACTTGAAGAACCATGACTTTAATCTTAACCCTTTCTTAATTCTGTTTACCCAGTCACTTGATTTTAAGACACAAACAAAACCAGTATTACAAGAAGTGTCAAGAACATACCTTGAACATTCTATTAAAGAAACTTTCAGTCTTCCTTCCGTTAGTGAGAAACCTTGTATACTGAGGTTCCGGTCTCTATATTCTTCGGGTGGCACAACTTGAAATGGAAAAAATGGTTTGAACCTAATCAAAAGATATGTACATATTATTTATTCAGAACGGTGATTTAGCAATTCATTCTGTTGTTACAAGACTCTGACAGGAAATATCTACAGCCCCAGAAATGAAATAATCATTATCATCATGGCCAACGATAGACTATGTATTGCAATCATTGTTGCACCCAAAGGTTTTTGTACATAGTGGCAACAAGTTTATGTGCTTGTAATTATTTCACATTTCCAAGTAATACTATTTCTGATCACATGTAAGGTTTTATTTCCCAAAAAAACATGAAAAAATATCTTTGTGTTTACTTTTATACTAGAAAGTTATAAGCATTTATTCAAGAATATGTGGTCTATAACACTTATGGAAAATCCATGCTATAAAAATATGGAAAACTTTAATGGCAATCTCCACAGGAGCAGGCAGGATATGTCAAACTAACAAAAGCAGTGTTGCTGTGTTGTAATGCAAGTTCCACCATTTTTTTAAAAAATACATGCCCAAAAAGATAATGATTGTTGCATGATGGCACAACAGACTTTCTTCATTCTGATTAAAAGAGCAAGATCTTGCAAACACTGCTGAAGTATACTATAATTTATAAAAGAATTGTATAAATAACTGATTGCATTTCATTTCATGCACTGGTTTCTGAAGGCCAAATTATCTCAGGTAATTCACTAACTTAGAAAGCTAGAGGGCACCTGATTTCTACAATCAATATCAATTTTCATGTTAAGGTAAAGTCTCCTTTAAGTTGAATATTACTCCTGATGACTTAATGGACATGGAAATGATTCACCATTGCATTCTTCCAGGATGTTGCTGGTGCTATTGTACGAGGAAATAAGGTGTTGTTTAGGAGAAGCTTAACACCCCACTTTCCAGGGACTTGAGAAGTAATAAACCCTGTTGGCATAAGATATTAGGATATAAGCATAGGTGCTAGAAAGCAAGGCCAGTATAGCCATAAAAGTAATTATCTAGAAAGAAATCATGAGAATCCTGTCTGAATTTTTTTTAACTATACCACTGCTTTTTATCATTCTACTTCACAGACACCCCCCCCCCATCTCCATTTGACTTCTCTAAACCCAGTACACCTTGGTATATCCAAAGAATTATTTTGCTGTATACAATTGAGGGAAGTCAGCCCCCCAGAGAAGGAAATATTAAAAGGGCGGAAAAATATATTTCCTCAAAAGGATTTTAAAAGCAGAAACCAACCCTGCCCCCAAGTCTCTCTGTCCCAAGCAGAAGCCAGCCCTATACAAATGCAGATGTAAACCATCAGAAAGGCCCCAGCTAGGAGATCAAGAAGACAAAGACCTAAAATATGCATACCCCACCTGAGATGGGACATAATAGGACTAACCCATCACCATCAAGAATACCAGAGAGGCACACCTAGACTCAGGTCAGAATACATGACACAGGAAGTAGCCTCAAAGTTCATGCCACAGGAACAGGAAACCATTCCAAACAAAAGACTTCAGAGGTTATAAAAACCTACTTCCCACATGTGCTCGACCCTTTTCTTTTTTGTCTCCTCTCTGCTGCCAGAACCATCTTTCTGTCTGGCTCTTCAATAAACTGCAATCTTCTTTCTAAAGCAGTCGCCATGTTGTTTATTTATCCCCGGCTTGGATGAACCAGGATGAAGACTTTTCCTTCAACACAATCATAAGTACATTCTAATGTAAACTCTATGCAGAGGGTTTCATCCTCACTCTTTTTGGGTTGCTTCTATAACCTCTGGTGCCATAAAATATAATTTGTGTTTCATATGATATGGATATATAGCTGATCATAATTATTAAACAACTTTATAGAGACGTTTTTACTCCATGATGCCAGCCAAGTCCAGCCATTCTTTTTATGATAATCCATGACAGTTAGATGCTGCCATTAGCTGGGTGTTTTTATGTGGATTTTTTTTAAAGAGGGTGTGTCCTCAAATCAATCTCAACTCCTTGTGACTGGCTAGACAAGTCCTGACAGTTTTCTTGGCACATTTTCAGTAGTGATTTTTACATTAGCGGTACAAATAATCCTTACAACTACAACTGGGACCAAAATCACACTGAGTAAGGTGGTCATTAAATGAGACATCACGTGGCTGCTTTGCTTAATAACAGTAATCCCAGCACTGTAAGGATGATCTGTTATTATGCAGTTTTCTGAAAAATCAAAATGTTCCCCTATTGGGTTAAATTATTTCCATTTTTGTTTTTGTATTCTGTTATTGTTTTGCGTAAGGATTGCCTAGTTTGTCTTAGGCAGAGCTTAGTAATTACAAAGTATTTTTTTACCTTTCAGAGAAATTGTGAAGATAATTTTCCAAGTTGTAAAGAAGACAAAACTATGCTAATTTACCTTGCAAACGTTCTTCTTAATAAGGGAATATTTGGTCATTCCACTATACTTTACATATTTAGAGAACGGAATCTGTCCAGTGGTGAGCAGAGTTCTTAAGTTCCTTAACAATAAGAAAGTTGCATGCCACTGTGCTAACTTAAGTCAGACATTACCACTGCCTTGCAACATAATGTCAACACCTCATGCAGTCCAAGACATGTATTGCCCCATGTATGAGAAAATATGTAATTACATTATTTACCACATTGCTGCTCTACTTAATGTCTCACCAAGCCAAGAGCAAAAATGGGAAGCTACCTTTCCATGCCCACTCACACTAGCCTGCATGCTAAATTGGATAAGGAGCAGGCATAGGTGCCAGTATTCCCTAGCCATCAGTCTTACCCAATCACAACCAGAGCCCTATGAGAATTTGGTCCTGTTCTGCCTGGGTAAAATATATATCACAGGAAATGAAAGAGAAAAAAGAAAAATAATTTGCAAAATGTACAAAAATACCCTGATAACCATGCTAAATTTGTTTGCGGAAGTCTTGGAGAGAGAGGTGATGACGGTTAACATCTTGTTGTGAATCAGATAGAAGGTAATCAATTATAAATTTATATTATATTACATATTAAATTGTGTACGTAGACAATTATATTCTACGTGTTTATTGTACTATAAGAAACTTACCAATTTGCATTCTTACTATTTGTTAGCATATAATTAGCTTACTGAGACTGTAAAATATAGTTTCAAGTAATTCTCAAAAGAATTATTTTTAAATGAAGATTTGTTTTAAAGATTCAGCATAACAATTCCAACTCTTCATGCTCTTTCCAGAAAATTCACATGCACACTGTAAATAGGATTTTATAGACAAAATTCAAGAATATCCTATATCACATGCATATTCAAATACTGTCATCTGAAATAACAAATAGGTTTGCCAATTGTGCACCCACATCAGATTATCAGGCACATTAACACCTGTTCTAACAGATAATTAAAAATAAATTGTTCAGAGCAAGTAACTATGAGGACTACAAGATCTCATTCTCATATCACAATTATAAATGTTTCTGATTAATGTAGTGACCCATCCTTCTAAGCACATACACAGAAGTTCTGCAGAATTTTAATAATGTAAAATAAATAGACAGTAGCAGAATCCAATGTCATCTGTCACTAGTGTTAGGAAAGTAGCATCCATAAGGAAATAGCATTTATAAGATGGTTACATAGAAAAAAGGAATAATTATATACAAAAGCATAAATTACTGTTAACAGTTAAAAGTGCATACAAAAATGGATGCATAACTTGGTAAACTGAGGATATATACATGCAAACTTTTTAAAATATAATTTTACTAAGGATTTTAATTACAATAATAAAATCTAATATAAACTAAAGAAAGAATAGAAAAAAGAATGAAAGGTACCAGTAAAAATAAAGTAAAAAACAGAAAGAATAAAAGAATAAAGAAAGAAAGAAATATATAAAGAAATGACTTCCAAGCTTAGCCCAACAAGGATAAATAATTTTAGTAACTCTTCACCCCTTCTAGTTTGCAACCAATGATCTCTTCATCCCATACCCCATCTCTTAAGTATTGGTAGTCCTTGATTTATGACCCATTTGTTTAAGGACCATTCCAAGTTAACAGGGATTTGAAAAAGGTGAGTTATGACTGGTCTTTGCACATATGACCATTCTAGCAGCCCTGCAGTGACATGATCAAAATTTGGGAGCTTGGCAACCTGCATGTATTTACAATGGTTGCCGCATCTCCGGGTCACCTATTTGCCAATTGTGGTCTTTCCAAGGGGCTTCTGACAAGCAAAGTCAATGGAGGAAACTAGATTTGCTTAATGACTGCAGCAGAAAAGGTGGTAAAATCAGGCACAACTCATTTAACAACCACGTTGCTTAATGATGAAAGTTTCAGTGCCAACAGTGGTTGTAAGTCGAGGACTATCTGCATAAATAAATGCATAAAGCACAATCTTTTCAGTCCTGGTATCAGCTGAAAGTCTATTAACAACATATCTTATTTTAACCTTCATCAAATGAACTAATTTTATATTTCTTCCTTTTTTTAACAGCCTTAATCTTTAGTCCATTCAAATTTCTTTTCTGTTTCTTCTGATAAGATTCTTTAAAGCTTTAACAAGCCTCTTTGTAAATCCAATATAACAAAAATTACCCACGTAGTTTGCTACAATTGGTCCAGAACACACTTCCATGAGCAGTAATAGGCATTTCCTACTTCACCCATGTAACATCTCTACTCTGCAAACTACACAAGTTACAGTAATGTCCAGGTGCAATGCAAGGTGTCGATTGTCACCTTCAACATCCTTAGGACCTAGTTAACTTCAGGACCGTCTTTCCCTTAATCCTTCTTCCAAAACAATAAGAGTTGGCACAGTATAGGTGGCATGCTCTAGGTCTCAGTTGTAAAGCATTGCCATATTGAAAGAGCTAAGAGATCCACCATTTCTTAGTATATAAAATGAAAGGAAACCTCACTCCCTGCTAGCACTATTGATGTTACCTCATTTGATAATGAAACATTTGCAAGAAAACAACCAAGCTTGGACAACACCAAGGACCCTGCAGAAAACAGCATCACTGTCACTCTATCTTCCCTATAGCAGGTATAGCATTTTCCTGGAAGCCTTTTAAAGCCCAATTCTGCTGAACCTTTGCAAAGCTGTAAACCTACTCTTGAGACACTGTGGGCTGGTCTGCCTTCTGATAGCATACTTTGGTATTTGATTGTGATGAGTTTTGATGAATTTATTCCGGTACTATACTGTACTTATAGTTGGTCGCTGTGCTTATTATTTTTATGCTGTTATTTTAGCCCTATTATATAAGCTGCCAAGAATTACTCTGATTACTGATGTGACATTTAAGTTGCTAAATAAATTTATTAATTAAAACAAACTCCCACTTTTCTTTTAATTTTATTAATGTATTATTATTAATTTTATTAATGTTTTATTAATGTGCATTTATTACGAATATTGTTCTTAAATCCAGAGATACAGAACAGGTGGTCCTCCAGATGTTACTAAACTACGGCTTCTACCATTCCCCTCATCATCACTCATGCTAGCAAGAGCTCTGGAATAGTGTAATTCAACATCTTGAGTATGACAAGTCTCCCACTTCAATGTATTCTTTAACGTATTCTAGTTTTCAGTTGCTACTGTACTGTACTGTACTGCTATAAAAATACTGTAAAAATCTTCTACACAGAAAAGCTAGATGTTATCCAGCCCCACTTACTTATTTAAGAACATGTCTGGCAGCTCAAATAATGAAACATAAAAGCTTTAAATCAACAATATGTTCAGTATAATAGCCTTCATAACCAATCCTCTAGGCACCAAATACGTAGTGCTTGGTCTTATCTCCTTCCTGAAAGATATTAGGGAGGGAGACATTTTAATCTGGGAGGAATCTGTTCCATAGGATTAGGGCAGCCATGAAACCATCCTGCTTCTATGTTTGTCTGTCTGATCTTCCAAGGGGAAAAAATTAGGAGCATACCTTGGGGGAAGGAGTGGATTTTTAATATTATAAGCTGCCTGGAATCACCTGTCCATGAGTTGGGAAGCCATATAGATTTGTATGAGAAATAAATAATAATATATTTCTTCCCTGTTAGATATGCAAAGTAGGCTTCAACTTTTGACTGTACCTCGTTAAAGAACCAATTTGACTGGCTACAAAACTGTCCATAATTAATCAAGCAGGTTTTCTTCCCCTTTTACGTATACACAGAATATTTGTAAAACCTACACATCTATTATTAGAAGAGGATTTCCTTGTATTTATTGAAACTGGGCAATCACCACAAATGCTACTCAAATGAGAATTAATCATCATATTTTGAACATACAATATCTGATTCTGGATTAAAGTATTAATCTTTATAAGAAAAAATGCAGGAATACTTTTAAAATAATGAAAAGAATTCACAAGACATGCGCAAACACATTAGAGTGAAAAGATGAATGCTAATTTTGCTATAGTAGTTCTGATTGAAAAATAGAAAACTTTACACTGGTGCAACTAAAAGGTAATATTCTAAAGCCTTTTCCTGCTCTAGAGTTACAAAATCTTTTTTGTCTAGAAATCTGAAACTGCATACAGAAAAGAACTCCCCCCCCCACAGATGAATGAAAAGTAACCTTCGCTTTTGTCAAATGAACATCAGTTAACCCATGAGTTTTACTCTTTTCCAGAGATGCATGTATTTATTGGATATATCTTTCCACCTTCATTCAAAGAGACAATTAGTTTATATCTATCAATAATAAAACAAGAACAAACAAGGCTTTCTGAAAAAGGTCAGTTTTAAATAGTTTATAGCAGTGTTTCTTAAAGTGTGGTCGTCCCCCAAGACTCTCTCAAGGATTTGCAAAATCAAAATTATTTCCCAGTTTATGTTGACTTACGGAAAGGAAAGCCAACAGCAAAGGGGGCAGATCAAATTTGTAGGAGAAGGTTATTCCAAAATGCAGGTACTGCAACCAAAAACCAGCACTGTGAGTAGCAAGATTTAGGCTGCTAAAAGTAGTGTGCCACAGTTCAGTGTCACATATAAGACAGAGATCAAACTTCTCCTAGCACTTTTCAAGTTAGCCACTGTGACATTTAGAGTCTGACTTTATACTAAATATTGCATCTAATTAGAACCCTTGCTTTTTTAATATGCGTAAGGTTCTTAAAGTAGTACCTCAGATCCATAACTCCATCATGTGAGAGAGCTGCCTATTTTATATACTGATTTGTTTTATTTGTAACCAATTCAACACTGACTGTGGATGGTGTACAAATAAAAAAAAACAAGCACATGATCTAAAATCAAGCAAAAGATAACAAGCATAACAGAAACAAGCATACAACATTAACTGAAAGAGAACGCTAGGATCCCTGAACTAACCCAGAGCTTGGGGGGGGGGGGTTTCAAAAGTTGTTTAAATTGAAGGCCTGGTTTATTTTAAACCTCCAGGGGATGCTATTCCAAAGACTATAACAGAGAAGTCACACTTAAGTCTCATCAGAGGACAATGATTAATGGATGGGAAATAAAGCCCATCACTCTGCCAGGTGTTATAGACAAGAAAAGAGCATAGGAGAGAAGTGGTTCCTAAGAAAGCAACACCCTACCCCATTAAGGCTTTACACGTTGAATTTTATTTGCATGCTCATTAGTTACCAACAGTGGTTATACCGAAGTCTGCTCATAATTGTTTGTGCTGCTGTATTCTGGACCGGTTTTAGCTTCTGAATGGTCCCCCACGAGGCCCAATGGTACAATCCACAATCCAGGTTAGATGACCAAGGCATAAATAACTATGAGAAGAGATTTGGTCCATAAAAGAGTACTATTGGTGCACCAAACTAATTTCCAGATCACAACTGTCATCTACTCTTTGAGGAGCTATGAGCCCAGGACTGTGTACCAGTTCTGTCTGGGGAAGTGCAACATTATTTATAACCAAAAATGGAGAAACTCTAGCACTGGAAGAATCGTGAACCATATCTACTTTGGCAGCTACCCATAGCTACCCCATCCAGACTCCAATAATCTTTAGGCACTGGAACAAGACCTCAACCTCATCACTCACTCAACCAAGGCTAAGCTATCAGAGTGTCATCATATTGATGGTAACTAATACTACCCAGTTGGTTCAGGTAAATGTTAAACAGGAGGTGAGAGTGTCAAGCCCTAAGCCATCCCACAAAGACCGAGCCTATGTAAAAACTAGCTATGTAAAAAGAAGGGAAACCATTGCAACATTGCATCTCCCACTCCCAAAGTCCTCTAGCAATCCAGAAGAACTTCATAATCGATATCAAGAACCAGATGGTCACACAAGTCTCATCCTCACTCTGCCAAAGATCACAGATTAAGTGAAATCAACGCTGTCATTCTCAGCTGAATGAACGGATGAGGTATAAATGTGGGGTGAATATACCGTAGAATCAAGGGCTAGAAGAGACCTCCAACATCTTCTAGTCCAACCCCCTGCTCAGGATAGGAATCTGATAGCAGTGACCAATATTGAGAAATTTGATGTATTTTGTTAATGTGAAGGGAAGGAATAAAGATAACATTTCAAAACAAATCTATGAAGGAAGAGTAAATAGGTTGAGAGAAAGGGGAAGACTATGAAAGTTGCATTTGTATGGAATTGCTGAAATTCTGAAAAACAATTACAGGTAATCCTTGACTTAACAACAGTTCATTTATGACCGTTTGAAGTTACAACAGTTACAATGGCACTGAGGAAAGTGACTGTTTTTCACATTTACAATGATTGCAGTGTCCCCATGGTCACAAGTTCAAAATTCAGACACTTGGCAACTATTTATGATGGTTTACAGTGTCCCAGGGTCCTGTGATCACCTGTCGTAACCTTCTCAAAAACAAATCAATGGGGAAGCCAGGTTCATTTAACAACTGTGTTACGAACTTAACAATTGCAGTGATACACTTAACTGGGGCAAGAAAGGTCATAAAATAGAGCAAAATTCACTTAGCAACAGAATTTTTGGTGTCAATTGTGGTCATAAGTCGAGGACTACCTGTGTATAATTTTAAAAAACAAAATGCAAGGATGAACCAGGTGAAATAAGGCTTTGCAAAACAGAGATGTAAGAAAAGCCCAATTATTATGGTGAAAATTAGATTTGGGTATACTTCCTCCTCTTTTTTTAATTCATATATTAATTCCTTTGGCTCACTGTTTCTTACTCCTGTTCATGGTGCTGCTTCCCAAGAAAGGGAATAGTTAATGAGTAATGTGGGTATAAAAATTAAGCATACTATTCAGTATCAAAGCCCATAACACTTTCTTCAGAAAACAAGCATGGCTTCTTTGGGCGAATTACACACTGAAAGCCAATTCAGTGTATAATTCAATTTCCTCATTTATCACTCTTCCAGAAGAAATTTCTGTTACATTTCACACTGTCCTTACCAAACTTCTTCAGATTAACCCAGTGAAGTATTCTTCCATTCCCACCCATTTTACACAAGTATGCACTGTAACTGTATCTCCTTAATCCAAAACAACTTACCTGATTTTATAGTGAGGTAATGTATGCTTGCGTCTAATAACTTTCTTGAACTGATTGACAATGATGGATGTAAGTTGCGGCAAGGGTCTCCCTTCAAACTGCGACTTGACTTCAAGGTCAATCAAAGGTTCATCGACAAAAGCAAAGGACCAGTGTGTGAAAGGTATACGGGTGAAGACCAGCCTCAGCCGACCCACAATTCTAGAGATTTTGGCGAACAGATATGCTGACTTGCCAAAAACAAGGTCTGCATCAATGGCTAAGTGGAAGCCCCCATCATACTCCATGTCAACTTCAAAGTCCAGCTCCTCCGGACAGCCGTCCTCATTACATGTCACTGGCCGCAATATCTTGATATTTTTAAAAAGGGGGATGACGTTCCCAAAGGAGACATCCCGCAAGCTGAGACCCTCTAGCACCTTGCCAGTCACTTTTGTCTGCAAAAGCTCCTCAAATTCTACCCTGATTTTCCTGGTGACCCAGTGCCGGATCAAGGAGGTGTCCTTGAGTTCCCTGAAGAGAAAGAGGCAGATGGCGTTGAGCCAGTAGAGGGTCTCCTCCGTACACTCCACCAAGGGGGGAGATTCCTGGCTCGGGGGCTTGAAGTCCTGCTCGCTTTTGGAAGATCCAAAAGATCCGGGGAAAAACACTTCCTGCCCCAACATGAGGATGCCGGTTAAGTACTCCTTGAGGGTCGAGTCGGGCACTACTCTGGTAACAAAGAAGTGGGACCTGCGAACCCGGGACTCCCCGTTCGCGGCGTCAGGCTGTCTCCGATAAAAGAGAAAGAGCTGGGCGATCAGCGTGAGGAAGGAGCCCAGCAGAGCTGACAGCAATATTCCATAGACCGACAGCATCGCCTCGCCTCAGCGCCCTTCGCTGCTGCCTCGAGCAAACGCGCCGATCCCGGACAGCCCACCGGCCCTTCGCACCTTTACGCCGTATCCAGCAGCGGCGCAGCCATCCCCGCCTCCTCCATCTTGGCGACAGCGACCTGCGGAAAACGGGCCCCGCGCTTAGTCAGGACGGGAAACTCGGCGCCGTCTTCCCTGCTCAGCCCCAGACGAACAGGCGAAAAGCTGCCGCCGCCGCCGCCCGCACGCACGCACGCCCAACTCCCTCCTCCTCTGGCCCGCTCAGCCTCTCTCGGCGGCGGCGGCAGCAGCATCCGGGTCTTTCCTTCCTTTCCTTCCGCCGCCTCCCGCACCCCCCTCCCCTTTGGTAGGAGCAGAAACCAACTGCTGCTTCTCTACCTTTGCTCCACTCCTTCCATAGGTCCGGATTGGAGGAACCGGAGGGGGGGGTACGGAGGTTACGTCATAGGGCACGCCGTCCCTTCGCGCTGACCTCATAATACTGCGGAGGGAGGAAACAATAACAAAAAAAAGAGTGGGGGGGAAATCCCAACTGCGTATGTGCGCGTGCGTATTCCTTCCTCCCAACCTCTTCTCTTGTGCGGTGCTTCAAAGTCGGCGGAGAAGGTTCGGCTGGTAGGTGAAGAAGAGAAACGTGGGCGGATTGGAAAGAAGAATGATCTCATTTTGCAGGCCAACCAATCTGATCAACTTTGTCTTACGGACCGATCATCATCCTGCACAGAAGAGAGATTCCCTTTTCAATGTCAAATAAAAAAGACGGGTGAAAATGACAGGTTCGTTGACGAATTTTTAGCCCGTTGCTTGTCACTCTTTGGCTACAGGTAGTCCTCGACTTACGACTACAATTGAGCCCAAAATTTCTATTGCTAAATGAGACATTTGTTAAGTGAAATTTGTCCCATTTTACAGCCTTTCTTGTCATGGTTATTAAATTAGTAATATGGTTGTTAAGTGAATCTGTCTTCCCCATTGTCAGAAGGCTGCAAAAGGGGATCACATGACCATGGAACACTGCAACCGTCATAAATATGAATCAGTTGCCAAATTTCTGAATTCTGATCACATGACCATGGGGATGCTGCAATGGTCATAAGTGTAAGAAGTGGTCATAAGTCACTTTTTTCAGTGCTGTTGTAACCTCGAACAGTCACTAAATGAACTGTTGTAAGTTAAGGAATATCTACTGATCCTGAAGGAGCCATGATAACCTACCTTGTTTCTTTTAAGCAGAAGTGGATTGCATCTCCAACCATTGCCTCCCCTTTGGGAATTTTGAGACAAAATACTCATGATATTTAGAAATAGGGAAGTGCCTGTTTCTAACTAGGGAAAAGTGATAATAGTAGTTCAACCACAAGAAAAAAAAACATTCTAATTAAAAATGCAAATACAATAATATAATTTAAACAGCAATTAGATAAAAGCAATTCTTAAACTATACAAAAAGCTAAGTTGAAAAGTTGTAGGTTATGTGAAATATTGTTGTTGTTAGTTGCGAAGTCATGTCCGACCCATAGCGACCCCATGGACAACGTTTCTCCTGGCCTTCCTGTCCTCTACCATCTTCTGGAGTCCATTTAAACTCACGCCTACTGCTTCAGTGACTACATCCAGCCACCTCATTCTCTGTCATTCCCTTCTTCTATTGCCCTCAGTCTTTCCCAGCATTAGGTCCTTCTCCAGTGAGTCCTTCCTTCTCATTAGGTGGCCAAAGTACTTGAATTTCAACTTCAGGATCTGGCCTTCTAAAGAGCAGTCAGGGTTGATCTCTTCTAGGACTGACCGGTTTGATCGCCTTGCAATCCAGGGGACTCGCAGGAGTCCTCTCCAGCACCGTAGTTCAAAGGCCTCAATTCTTTGGCACTCAGCCTTTCTTACGGTCCAGCTTTCACAGCCATACATTGCAACTGGGAAAACCATGGCCTTGACTATACGTACTTTTGTTGGCAGGGTAATGTCTCTGCTTTTTAGTATGCTGTCTAGATTTGCCATAGCTTTCCTCCACAGGAGCAAGTGTCTTTTAATTTCTTGGCTGCAGTCCCCATCTGTGGGGAGACTGAAATACACAGCTGTAAACAAAGTCTCAGGATTTACAACAGTTTCAGAGGAGTCAAGAGTATGATGATCATATTTGTTTGCAGAGCTGCTTTCCCAAAGTAGAATAAAAACATTCCCCGAAAAAAGGCTGTCGGTGAAAATATCGAAGTTGAAATAGAAATCAAAGAGACAGTGGGTCAACCTTTTGGAAGTGGAAACGTTTGGAATTTTGAGAACATACAATGGGTATTTTCCTAAAATTGCTTGGATCATTGGGCTTGTCTAATGGCACCCATAACTAACTGTAATAAAATCATCTTAAGAAAGTGATTTATCAGACCAGCCACCACTTCATGCTTCTTCTCCCAGCCGGTTCTTAAAATTTCTGCTTATTAATTTAATAATTAAATAATAATTAAGTATATATAGCTTATTGCAGGGTTCTCAACCTGTGGGTCACGACCCTATTTGAGGTCGAACGACCATTTCACAGGGGCCCCCAACAATGCAGTCTGCCATTTTTTCCCCCTTTTCCTTAGCTGTGCTACTCCCTTTTATTCTATTGGCTTTTGAAAGCCAATAGAATAGACTCTCTTGAATAGAGTCTAATTCTATTGGCTTTCAAAAGCCAATAGGAATTGTCCAGGCTGTCTCTGCCCTGCTGAGCCCGCCAAAAGCCCCAGTCTGCAAGCAATGCTGCAAGTTGTCTGCAGTGAAGGCGAGCTGTCTGGAAGCTTCCATCCCTCCCTGCTGAGCAACTACTAAAAATGTAAGTAAAAGAGGGCCAGGGGTGGGAGGTGGGAGGCCGGCGGGCGCAGGGAGGGTTGCTAGCATGCGTGGGGCCCGGCGGGTGCCTTACCTCCCTTGGGCTGGGCCAGCTGGTGGCCCAGCCGGTGGTCGCCCTGCGCCGTCGCTGCCCCTTGCCAGCTACGCCTCTGCCGGCGCAGGGGGCGACACCATGCATGCACGGCGCTCCCGGGCAGGGAAAGTCCTTGACTTACTACCGGTTGGGTAGTCCTCGACTTACAACCGGTTGGGTAGTCCTCGACTTACAACCGGTTGGATAGTCCTCGACTTACGACTGGTTGGGGTCGCAGCATTAAAAAGGTTGAGAACCACTGGCTTATTGGAACCTAGATGAGTTATTGGAAATAAAGGCAATACTAGAGGCTGGGAGTTAGCTTTTAAGTATGTCTGTTTCTCACATTTTGAATTAAAATTTTAAAATGTAAACAGGCACATCAGGCAGAGAGCCTGGCAGGGACCAAGGTTGGTATGTGCACCCCTCTTTGTCCAATTACATTGGCTATACAGCCATGGTTCAATACACTGAATGATATATTATAAAAGGAACATGATACAGATAGTCTTCGACTTATTAACACAATGGGGACCAGAATTTCCATTGCTAAGCAAGATGGTTGTCAAAGTGAGTTGTGCCCAATTTTACAACTTTTTTTTGCCATGGTTGTTAAACGAATCACTACAGTTGTTACCTGAATCATGTTATTAAGTGAATCTGGCATTACCACATTGCTTTTGCTTGCTGGAATCTGATTGGGAAGGTTGCAAATTGTGACACTGCAACAGAAGAAAAACCGAACGAGACACTTCAACCAAAGTCCCGCTGAAGATGTTACCTAGTTTGGTAACGAAACATCTGGAAGCAAAATAGGCAAACTCGAAGAACAAACCACTGCCAAAAAACCCCACTGCAACTGTTGTAGATACATTTCAGTTGCTAAGCACTCAGATTTTGATCATGTGACCATGGGGATGCTGCAACAGCTGTAAGTGCAAGCACTAGTCATAAGTCATTTTTTTTCAGCAATGTTGTAACTCTGAAGCATTTCTAAACTACTGGTTATATGTTGAGGATTACCTATACATTTTGCCTATGCTGCAATAGCTTCTTTAAAGCCTCTAGTTATATATCAATCTCCTATTTTTCTTTCTAAAATTGCAACTAATCTAAGCCCAATACAGTAAAATTGGAAGTAATGAGGGTGCCTCTTTAGTTATGCATTAAATTATTCAGAGTTAATATGATTTTATTTAGAATCATTTTAATTCTGTTTGAGAAATATTTTGTTCATAGCAGTGGTGGAATTCAAATACGTGAACAACCAGTTCTCTTGTGTGGATGCCGCATCTGGAAGTCCATTCTGGGCCTGGGCAACAAAAAAGTAGCTACCGGTTGGATGAACTGGTGCGAACCGGCTGAATCCCACCACTGGTTCATAGGCTTATTAATAGAGATGGTTAGATGTTATCATAAGTGCTAAAATAGATCAAAAAATTAAAGAACTGAATTACAAAACAATTTATAATTTTTAAGTTAAATTGGGGAAAGTACCTTTTTATTTAATTTTAGTCTCATTTTTTCATTGAATTCCTTGATTTTCATTACTACAGTTTCACATCATACCCATTTTCAGCTGAGTAGTGTTATTAACATAGCACAGGTTTGTTTAATGCTTCTTCAGAGAGAAAAGAGGAAGGAATTCTTTAGACATTACTTCTGTAGATATCAGAAACCAGAACAACTTCTTCCTCTTTCCCTATATCATAAGACTGTTTATCTGTATTTACTGATAGTCTACTGAGTTGTTGCTAGCAGCTGATATGGCAAACATGAACTTAGAAAAATCTAATGGCTGCTGACGGGAGACTTCTGATTTCAGGACAAAGTGTGGCTAGTGAACTTAATTAAGCTCTTTTTCTGACAAGATTTAAAGTATCTTCCTAAAATGTTAGTGCCAGTAAAACCAAGGGAGTTAAATCCCTAAAGATACCTATCTGGAGGCAAGCATATTGAGTGTGCATTCCAAAGAGGAAAGGGGAGAGAGAAAAAATCTGAGAAATTAGGAAACTGGTGGAAGAAATAAACAAAAAGTGGCAATAAATTAATTAACATTATTGTACAATTCCTGCCTAGCAATTAGTAAACTATAAACTAGTCATTAAAACTCAGTGGAGACTTCTTATTTTGGAAGGGATTCTCCCCATTCTTTTAGACAGATGCTAAGCCCTGAGAGAATAAGAATGAATTAAAAAGAGAGAAAAGTGAGGATATGAACATGTGGTTATTCAGCATTCTACGTCAATAAAGTTGTATTGTTCCTAAACTCTGTATGCTTAATATAGGCAAAAATTCTAGCTACATCTTAATGGAAATCTGAGAATGCTAAAAGAGAAAGTTAGGGAAAACAATTGCCTTGAGTGGTATGTGCACATGTGTGTTCATGGTC